GCTCACTGTTTTTCGACTCAGATGCTCTTTAACCGTTCATTGATTTATATTGCATGAATCTTTACAGACAAGCTGCGGCACTCTAATGCGAAGTAAACTGCAGCGTGTGTGTGAAGAGGAGTGAAAATGTGTCAATCAGGCTGCTTCCTGTTCGGATCTCTGTGGTACCAGGCTCACCACAACGGATGATACATATATTTATATATAATGTATAAGTGTTCATGCTTTTTTTTTTCTACAGTATCACAGTCATGTCAGACTTCCGCAGAATCCAGATGCAGAAGTTTACTCACAGCTTCCACTGATCACTAGTTATTAAAGTGCAAATGTTTGCAATGCTTATCAGTCTATTAGTGATCCTGTGCAGCCTCTGGGAGCTGGCAGTGGTACTGTGATTGTGGTAGCTTCTACTATTACCCCTCTTTGTTTTGTTAATATTACCTTTACTTCCTCATGAACTTTTGCATAACTGGAAAGAACAGCAATAGAAGGGGAAAAATCAATATGTTTTAAACTTCACTAACACCTGTGACGGGTGATAAGTGAACATCATTTTTGGTAAAAGGCTGGAGTACCATAGACACTATCACCCCTTGGTGTATGAAATATACTTTGAAGCCTCCAATTTGGTATTTGTGGCTGTTTCAGTCATGAGTTTCTTTGTTTTTAAGAAAACACAACGTTACTTACATGAGAAGCAGTCCTTAGAAACACTGTAACCACCTGTCATCCAAGAGAGCCACACCCCTAAGTTTGTATTACTTTAAGCTTTGATGGCAGTAAAACCAAACGATAATACACAAAAGCAGGTGAACAATCAAAGATGCCACACAGGTATATGTGTCATCATCTTGCCTAGCGACCTCTTACCAGTAGGCTAAAATGACCAGTTTGTGGCGTTTATGCACCTATAATGTTATTTTAATTTCACGACAGTAACATTTAATTTGTATCTACAAAACATGAATATTAGGATATGTTTCATATATGATGATACCATCATGTTGCCAGGCAACCATATAATGGCAAGCTAAAATGACTTTTCAATAGTAGAGCAGGGCTTGGGCTTGGATATTGCTGTACAGCTATTACAGAGAAGCGAATCAGCCACAGAGACCAAAACAGTTTCTTGCAGCAGGCTGTAAACGTTTTTATTTCTGCTGTAAAGTTGGACTGTCTTTTAATAACAGAGTCTGTGGGACTGACCTTTGGAGCCAGGCTCAAGTGGCCACTAGTGGAACTGCAGTCAACCACACTTCTTTGTTGGGTTTGTTTTTTTCACTCTGATGGTTACTGCTTGCATCATGAAATTAAAGTCATAGAGACTTGTGGTGAAATATGTTTTCGATCTGCTAAAGATTTCCCGTTAGGGTTCATTTATGTCCTAAGATTAGTATAAAATCTGCACCGAAGCCTTATTAAAGCATATGTACAAACTACAAAAGGCAGCGGAGTGTGGTTTAGACAACAGATGCAGGGTGACAGTTCCTGTTGCACATTTTCCTCGACCGGCTTGCATCTCTGCAGACTGAAATTGCTGGGTGTGCTCATACTGGTGGTTTTCAGTACCTTTTTCACGTGAAGGCACGGCTCAGTTTGTGATCGTGCGCGTATGCGGTCTGCAAAACGGGTGCTTTCATTTCGGCAGCTGGTCACAGTGATCACTAATTAGCAGAGACAAAGGAGCATGATGCGTGCAATTCTGTCTGTCGGGTGATTTAATTTCTCTTCTGAGCATCAAACACAAAGCAGTCAACCACAGCAGCAGAACTGGCCTCATGCAAATACCTACAGCTTTGGCCTTAAGAAAGAAGACGACTTATTTAAGATCTAAGTTAAATAAAACCGTGTAGTTTGTCTGCTATGGCTTCCAAATCATCTACACTGTGACCTAATTTAAGGAAAAACAAAAATCTAACCACAGTATGGCTGTATTCATGTCTATCAGATCTTTCATTAGACGGTAGCCACAGCCCTCTATTGCTGATAGAGCAGGTGACACCCACAGTAGCCACAAACGACCTAGATCAGTTTTCCTGCTGGGGTCACTTTTTTATTTTACTCTGGCCTTGAATATTAGGCATGCAACATGTAAACAGATCTGCAAAGGACAAGGAAAGATCACGATTCCAGAGGCTGCTCATCAGATATTCACAGCTCTCAACAATAAAATGATAAACTCAAATCAGTGTATTTGAGCAACCTGTATAATCCTATTTTAAACCTTAACTTTATGGACTCTGGACTTTCAGTAGTAATAAAACTGTAAATATTCAGCACTCTATTGTGCTTTCGACTTGTCTTTGTGTCCAAAGGTCGTCCTTATGGGACACTTGTTTACTCTTTTTGTGTGTGGCTGTTTTAGAGGCCAAAGGCAGTGGAGGAAACGTTCATTCACTGTTACAGCAAATGTTCATAAAAATAACAGTCACCATTCGTTTTAAATAAAGAGGTCGTTGCACGTGCAAGCGATTAGTTTCAGACTGCTCTGTTTGTGCTTACAGAAGCCCCACCCACCTGTTGTTCTTACCTTGTGTTTGTTAGGGGTAGCCAATCACAAAAGGGTTGTCTTAAAAGGAGGAGGAATGAAGCTAGATAGTTTTCCTTTCTTTTTTTACACACAGAGGATGGAGTGGGCGATAAATAAGCATTATTTTTAAGTGGTATGCTGGTATAGTGTGTTTTCCTTGTGAATCAATGAAAAAAAGCAAACACTTAGAGGTTTAAACAATCTAACAGTAATCAAAAGCTTCAGTTCAAAATCTATGCTGATCTGGACGGCTGTATTTCCTCATATATTCAGACTTTAATTGGAGCAGGAGCAGTTATCAGCATTTTTGTTTCCTCCTGGACAACTCTTGGACATCCAGGTCTGCTCCCGTTGGATGGCATTGACCTCTAGGGCTTATGCTCAAGCTCTTCACAGCTAATTAGGTGGCAGTGGGTGATAGTGAGGGTGTAACTGTGCTCTGGGTGTTGCTGGCTAATGGCTCCAACAGCACACTGAGACAATAGCCAGGGAGGCCCGCCCCACAGAGAGCGAGAGAGATAACGATGTTACTAACAGCGAGTTTCACATGGGAACTGCTTGAATCGGGCTGATAGGAAAGAGGAAGGCCGAAGAAGGTTCAAGAAAGCCCCAAAGTAGAAACTGCCACAAAGTAGGCTTCCTTATTCCCACGGTGAACCGATGAAAGGTGAGATACAGAAAGAACAGATCAGAAAAAAGGTGGAGTGGAGAGATAAACAAGAACTGAGTGGCTGTCCTGTGTGGAGCTCTGTTTGGCTGCTTGAAGTCAGGTTTTAATCTAAATGGGCATGTAATCCAAATAAAAATATCATTTTCATCCTCCAATCAGCTCGTTTCATCTCATGTAAATGTAATCCAGCTCAGAAAGATTATAGCTGGTGCTGACTCGGAGGCAGTCAGAGCTACTTTATCGCTACTGTGCCTCTGTTGGTTATTCATTACATATTTTTTTCATTTTATCGCTTAAGAAGAGTCATGACTGAACAAATAGGAGGCGTGTTGCTTCTTCTTACTGTGTTATGAGGCTCATCTGACTGGTGAAGGTTTTTGTTCATGAACTGATGATTTTGAGTTATTTTAAGCTGTTATAGAAAGTTGTGGACTGGCTTTGTTTGTCCCTAGTTGTTGAGTTTTTGTACTTTTCATTGGTGGGAGATATATTGTAGAATACAGAGGCACTGCTACAGTCTTTGAGCTTAAAATGGAGGTTGGATTGGCATTTATGAAGTACTCCTTTAATCTTTTTGACCATTCAAACGTGTTGCATAAGCTAAATTTACCCACTCATATGTGTAGGGCTTTAGTCTTTGTACTTTATCCGCCTTACATACTTAACTACATCCACATTAGAATCCCCATGTAGGCTAACATGCATATCTTTGGACTTTTGAAGAAAGCTAAAGTACCTTGGGACCATGCAAGCTCCTCACAGGAAGTTCAACCAGGAGATTTGACTCCAACACGATCAACCTATGAAGCGATAGTGCTAATCTCACTGCACCATCATGCAGCCCAGGATGTCAAGAGCACAAGATCTTTGTGATTTTGACATCCTAGATTCTCTAATCTAATGTGATCGTTGTTGATTTTCTGAAAAGCTAAAAACAAAAGTAAAAACCAGATAATAACCACTCTCCTTTCCCACTTTATTAGATGTTAAAGGCGCACTTGAGCAAGCCGCTTATCCACTAATTGTATTCATGGACTTTGCATTGATCGCTGTTGCGCCTGGTAGTTCCCAGGATTTAAAGTTGTGGGCATCAGGCAGTTGAAAAGGAGTATTCATGCTCAGTTAACTCCTTCCGTGGTTGAATAAAGGCTAAAGGAAGAAAGACTGAGGCAATTAGTCTTAAATGCCCCTCTCAGACACAGCGGCACGCTCCGGGGCTTTTTCTATCTCCAAAATCTGCTGTTTTGAGTCATTATCCCTCAACCCTCCGTAGACCTTTAGATAGCTGTGCCCTGAAGCACGAGCTGAGCTGAGAAAATCCCATCAAGTTCAGATTTGGTTTGAAAGACATCTGGTGTGGAGCTGCCGACCAATGGCAGCGCAGCGAGTTCACCAGCATGTCATTCACTGGAGTATTTAAAACCTGGCGTGGCAGACGGCAGTCATGTGTAGTATTAGGTTAGTTTTGATGCTTCAGATAATAAGTGATTGATACTGTTCTCATGATTGTTGCTGGAGCTCGTTAATTCAGCTTCTTCTGGAGCTTTTTATTAATAAAATCCACAAAACTTCTATATGAACGTGTGGGTTTATGGGTGCGTATGTGTGTGTAGGTGATTGTTTTGTTTTTTTTCCTTTGGTTTAGCATCGTGTCCTGCTGATAAACCGCCACTGTTGTTTTTCCACTCAAACCTGACAAACAGCACGCAGCAGGAGCGAACAGCTGTTGTAACCACGTGCTTGTTGTGTTATAATTAAGCCGACACGTATCTAAACACAGTCTGACCTTTGCTCCCGCAGAACCTGATGGCCAAAGCGTTGTACGACAACGTGCCGGAGTCCCCCGAGGAGCTGGCCTTCCGGAAAGGGGACATCCTGACCGTCATTGAGCAGAACACGGGCGGCCTGGAGGGCTGGTGGCTCTGCTCCCTGCACGGCCGCCAGGGCATCGCCCCTGGGAACCGCTTGAAGCTGCTGATCGGACCCATGTTCGAGGTTCAGTCGTCAGGTGCCGCCGCCGCCCCTTCTCCATCTCAGAGCTATCAGCAGAAGGCTAACTCGGGGTCTCAGGGCCTCTACCAGGTGCCCCCGTCCCTCCAGAGCCCACAGCAGCAGAGTCAGCAGAGCATCTACCAGGTCCCACCGGGACAGGACGTCTACCAGGTCCCACCGAGGAGTACTCTAGCAACTGATAACACACCAAGCAAGGTGAGACAGAGCTCATCAGTCAATCTGTCAGCTAGTTTGGGTTTCCTTTATTGACTCAGCCCAAGAAAGATACATCACTATGGAGCACAGCAATCAATAGTGACCATCTGATTTCACTGATTAGTCCTCCTTTAAAGCAAAGTTGAGGGGCTCATCAGTGAAACCACCTGGTAAGATGATTGGAGAGAAAAACTGTTATTACTGAGTCGTACTTTTTTTCCCTAATGCGCGCACAATGTTTTGCATTTAAATGCACTTTTACACACTTTCATCTGTAGCAAAGGGTCGCACATTAATATTTATCAGAGCGTCAGAAGAAGAGGAAATAACAAAATGGAAAAGGTTTAGAGTAACAGAAAATGGAGTCTGGTCTGTTCCCCAAACTCTGGATATTTGGGATCACATTGGATTTCTAAGGTAACATCAGCTGTGGCGGGTGTGGGAATGAGATGTGATGGGAAATGGCATTTGCGCGTTTACACCGTGATCCGTCAGGCTCGGCTCTCACCAGCGCGCGCACGGAAAGCAGAAAGGCCAAAGAGGAGATTGCAGCTCTGCCATGCGAAATGTGTGCAGGGTGTGCCGGGCCTGGCGCTCACCACAGAGCAGGGTAGTGTTTTTGTGCACGGCTCCCATTTGGCTTTATTCCTGTATTGGCACACTGTGTTCAGCAGAGCCAGTCTAACCCGCAGAAAGGCTGTGAGTATGGAGAGAAATTGTGGAAAAGCAAACAGTACAGAGCTGTTTTTTGGATTTTGGTGGAGCACAGCTGCATTTAAATGCTTTAAACATGGTCACTGGCAAACACACTGGACTTGGTCATTTGCAGTATAGCTATATATACACAATTCTCCAAACAGCGTATCCATGTATTCATCATTTTATGGCCTAGATCGTATATCATTTAAAGTATATATCTTAATTTGCCTGCTGAAAAAAGCATTTAATAGTCTTAAATCACCTAGTTATCAGTTTATCAGTGTCTATACTCATAATTATAATCGAATTATTATTATTTCATCGTCATTTTAATTTCTGCACCAAACACTTTCCTAACTATGGGGTAATAAGTCTTCTCTTGTGTTCGGTGTCTCCGATACTGCTGAGCCAGCTGAAGCCTTCTTTACTTGCTCTTGTTTTACACCACCAGACGTCTCGTACACTTGATTTAAATGCATTAAACAAGGGTGAGCAGTTAGCATGTCATTACCTCATTACACATGGAAGTCACTGGCAGGTGTGCGCTAAAATACGACGGGAGGAAATTTCCCTGGTTATTCAAGCGTTTAACTAGTACGAGCATCTCAGACCAAGTCTTACCTTCAGGAGGTGGATGGTAATTACATGCTGAATGAGCTTTTGATATCTCAAGGGCTATTTCCTTTAAAACAAATCAGCCCCAGCCATCATAGAAATGAGCTAAGGTGTTCATTTTAGTGGATAAACAGGCAGCAGGCGCCAGGGGCTTAGAGGACTTACTGTGATTCACTGCACAGGAGTTGCTGTGATAAAGTCAGTGGGAGCCAGGGGGCTGTGGGGAGAGACCTGTCAATCACACACACACACACACACACACACACACACACACACACACACACACACACACACACACACACACACACACACAGCAGTAGCAGACCTGTCAAGCAACACCTCTCTTTTTCCGTAACAGGCTGCGAGGCTTAGCCGAGGAGCGGTATTAACAAGGCTTTGCGATAACATGGAAAATGAAATGCGCTCCTAATGAGAGTGTATTTCTGTGCCGTAATCGTGTTATTGGAGAGATTATATTAAGTCTTGGACGTTCGACTGGTCCTCCAATCTGCGGTTATCAAAGCTCTGCAATTTTCGGCGGTTGTTCCCGTCTATTGAATAGAAAGATTTCGGCTGAGTGTGTGTCGGTGCGTCATGACAAGGATCCGCTGTTTTCCAGTGCTGTCTGAATCTTGGACAGAAGCACAATCGCCTTCAGTCGCCACAGACTGTTCTGTTAGATCTGGTTATCTCTAGTGAAACACTAAGAGAAAGGAGAGATGTTGTTGGTTCGTGCTCACCAATTAGCTTTCCAAGATTTAAGGAGGAGCACATCCAAAGCTTGAGTAGACCTGAAGCTCTCCTGATTCAATCAGATTAATTTAACCCTGCATAAAACATTTATAGAAATAATCACACAAAAAAACCTACAAGTTGGTTCATTTTCAGGTTTATGGCTAACTAAACAGAACAGTTTGCCTCGGTGGTTGTTTTCACTATAAAATTTTTCATTTCAACCAGTTACTGACCAATTAGAGCAATGCTCCATTTACAGTCATATAAAAATAGCGTTCAGCTCTTTCAAATACTCCATTTTATTCCTTTTCTTAGCAGTAATTAAGAAGCTACTCTATTGTTTAGCTGAATTTTATTTGAACTAATGTTCTGTTTTGAAGCCAAAACTCGTGTGTGGTTTGTGTTTTAAATTTGCTTTAATTCTGACAGTGAAAAATAGCTCAGGCTCAGTGTTTGCAGCCATTTATTATGTCCCAAGTGACAGAAAAACATCATCTCTCAAAGCTAAATTAAAGTGAAGGCTGTGATAGAAACCTATAGTTATGTTAAGTCATCCTGGATATACATACAGGCCTCAGGTTTGGAGTCACTGTATGTTTTTGGTAGAGCGGAGACGTTTACTTTCATCACAGCACACTTTTTAAGGGCGTCTAATTATGAAATTATGGTAAACGCTGTTTTAAAAAGAAGAGCCTCTGATTGTTTGCTCTGAGCTCCACGGTGTTGCGCACCAATGAAATCCCGATCGGTCGAACGGTGTGCGCCCTGCATCAGAGTATTTATGGAAATATTTGTTGCTGATGTGAAACCCCGGCTCTGGCCTTTGCTCTTGAAAGAAGCAAAGGCAGGCTTGTTTACTACAGCGCGTCAGTGTTGATGACAGGCCGGGCTCGCTGACTTATGGCCTCGTGTTGTTTTAACGGCGGCCGTTTTCATGTCGTTACGCGCAAACATGCGTTTGGTTTCCCAAATGGTTTTTGAGACTGATGTCGGCTTCCTAGACTGATAATCCCCTCTCGTATTACTCCGAAGCCGTCATCCCCTCCTGTAGAGAGGGGCCCCCGTATGTCATGAATGTGTCCTCGGAGTGGGGGGCGGAGGCAGGGGGGTGTTGCATGCCAGGCCTGCAGTGCAAATCCAGATTGGCGACTGGCTGTTTTCCCTTTCATGTGGCGTGGGGCTCCGGTATATAAGGCACACTGAGGTTTGGCGCTCGCTGCCACTCTGGCTCTTCGGTTTGGTGCTGCGGCCTTGTCCTTGGGTGACCCTCCTGGGAGGGTGAGCTACAGCCGCCCCACCTCCCCCTCCCGTCCCCTCACATAGCCTTAAAGCTGGGTCCGTGTGGGACGGACGCCAGGAGCTCTCGGCCACACAAAGAGCCTCCTCACATGGAAGCCAGGAGCAGCCTTTTATCATGTGGCTCCCAGAGGCCCGTGTTTCATCTCAGCCTTGATTTCCTCCTCCTCCTCCTTCTTCTTCACCATCTCTGAAAGGTGTGTCTGTTTTCGCCCCGGTCACTGTTGTGACTCAGGCGCTGAGGTCACGGCGCCCAGTGATGGGCTGGGTTCAGAGTTCAAATATATGCCCTTATCTGCTCCTTTCAGGCGGCCTTTTCATTCCTCCCTTCCTGCCTTCATGAAGTCTGCTCCTTGTATAGGCATTTCCTCCTCTCACCACGTCGTAGCCGTAGATGCAATCTGTTCATTGGTGCCGTAAAGAGCACAACAAAGGGTTTAATGAACTCAACACACAACTCAAGGAAGTGCCCTGATAGCGCTTTGTAGACTGCGAGGGTGTGCTCGTGTACCTTGATAAAGCAGTGCTTTTTGAAGTAACCAGGTTATGTGAGAAGAATGTCTTGTTTGTTTGCCTCGGCCATATTTTCTCTGCCTAATCACGCGCACGGCAGTCTCAGCAGCAGATAAGTGAGTTATTTCTTCCTGGAGGAAGCCGGCTCCTTCAAACGCTCGCCATTGTCACATTAGTGATGAATCGCTGGCCGGCGAGATTCGACCAAGAGGGCACGACCATAAATCAGTCGCACCAAAAGTAATCTGCTCTGGGGTGAGCGCACTGACAGGACTTTCTCCTCTGGAAAAGTTTAAAGCAGACAGTGTGATAAAGTTGCAGAGGAAGGCCAAGAGAAGACAGGAAATGCTTTCTTGAAAGCATTTATAAAAACCAGAGCTTACATATTTTATCTTCTTTTTTTTTTTTTTTAAGCCAGCCAACAATCCAAAAGACCAAAACAGATTCAGTTTCACATCACAGAAGGCAAACAAAACCAGGAGGTATTTACATTTAAGAAGCCAACGCTGGTTTCATTTTGGCATTTTCAGCCACACTAGCAGCTCTTTGGTTTACAGTGTGGGTCTGTCACTCCGCGGCTGGACAGAAATATCTCTCTGACCACGGGATGATTGGCATTAGATCTACTGCAGACATTCGCCTCCCCTCGATGATGAACCCTCATACTTGCACGGCACTTTTCTACTCTAACTGAACAGTCAAAGCACTTTTATTACAAGCTGCATCCAACCATATAATAATTTATACTGCATTTCAAGTGCTTTTGAACCAACAAACACTCATATAGTCCAGGGTTCAGTAGTACACAGAAGAGTTTTAAATAGATGCACAGTTTCAAGTAAACCTTTAAAGTGTTTTTTAAATGAGGAGAATACACTGACATAAGTGTCCTCACACACACACCCAAAAACACACCTGTTATATCCTCATTAGATCCTGTTAGATCTTCGTTTCCGGAGAGGGACTGTGAAGAAGTGCAACAGAAGAAGAGTGTTAAAGTACAACGATAAGCAAACATTTGGGCCGCATAACTTCTAAAAAAGGAGCAAACACATTTTTTCCTTGTCAATAAATAAAGTTACGCAGGTGAAAAGTATTCCATATCCTGGCTACTCACTACTTCACCTGTGAGGTATAAAAAG